ATAGTTTTACATAATCAAGTTACTTCTATGAAAGTATCTTTTAGCTTAGCCAGTCCCTGCGACTTGCCTTTGAGACTCAGATGATTTGTGTGTTTTGTGCCTATGCTTATTAACTGATGAAGCTGATATCGAAGCATCAAATTTGTGCCTTTATGCCTTACCAGTCACAGTCACAGACACCATCATCATCCCCTTCACTGTCATAGTCGCAGGCTTAGTAAAGGACCTAAACGATAAATCATATCAGAATCTCAGCCCTGTTGAAGCATTTGCAAATGAGAAAATAAGGAACATTGTAATCAAGTACATAAAGCATCCTTTCTTCTCTCTCTCTCACTTTTGATCTCCTCCTTTTTAAGTGTTTTCTCGTGTAACTCTGTTGCCTTCGGGTGGGCGTGGCAGTCAGAAATGCTTTAAACATTTTTACAAGTTGCAACTGGAAGCAACATTTGCTGTGCCTCTTATTGTACTTTTTTTTTTGTTTATATGTGTGTGTGTTTTCTCCGCCTTGATGTAGGTCCTTTTTTTCCGGTCTGCTAGCCATGAAAATATATTTAGCTTGAGCTTTGCGTCTGGAATCCTGTTGCTGTTGGTGTTGATTCGTCTATGAGTTTCCGTCTCGTTTTCTGGTTATTCAATCAATAATGCGTTGACATTGAGAGCAGCGGGCCGTGTGTGTGCCTGTGTGTGTGTGTGTGTGTGTGGGTGTGTGAAAATGATAAAGGATGATGGCCTGGCGGCGCTTTGACAAGTCAGGCAGTCGTCAAGCCAGCCAGAGTCGCAAACTTGCCAAAACAACAAAATCAGTTTGTGATTTACTTTTGCCCAAAGAGAAGCAACAACAGCAGCAGCAACAGCAGCGGCAACAGCAGGATTCAGTTCAAGGACATGCCGTTAAATCGCAAATGTCACAGCTGGCGCTTTTATCAAACCAATCGCTGATAGATCGCAATTTTGCGTGTGTGCGTGCGGCGTCCAGCGAAAGTGAAAGGCAAAGCCAGAGCCGAAGCCAAAAGCCGAATCTAAGATAAAACTTCAAATTAAAACATTCCTCGACTGAAATAAGCTCACGAAATTTCAGAGTTTCACAGAGTTGAAGACTTTGAGAATTCGAGAGTTTTGCAAGTTTTACTCATATATCGCTTGACTGACAAGGCATTTGCTGTATGCCCTGAAAGGAGGATGCATAGCCAAAGCCTATATAGCTTATACCTCGCATAGCTCCATTTAAATAATATATAATCTAGTATACATTTCATATAGCTCTAATATAGAGTATCATATAATCCAAGCTAAATAGCTTCCGAGGAGATTAGGAAGAGATTTAGGGATCTGTTTAAGTCAATCCTAACGCTCAAATATAATATATTTATAGTTTCTGTTGCCTTTTACAGAATATCTCTGAACTAGCCACTACTCTTTCCACTCTCATCGTTCGTAACAAGTTTCGACTGTTTCTTTTCGTCTCTTTTGTTCTCTTCTTGTCTCTCTCGTTATTTATGCGTCTTTGCAACACTTCGCTTTGCTTGTGAGTGTTGGTAAATGGCGTAAAAACAGCTCCATATTCCTTGACCTCTGCTCGCCTTATCGTTAACTGAATTGGTAAAGTTGTGCATTATTATCGGCCCGTCGTTGTCGTCGTCGTCGGCCAGACTTGGTCATAACATTATTCACAATGCGGCAATGAAGGTTCACAAAGTCGATAACTTCTGTGATGTTTATCGCTAAATAAACTTCTGCTTGTAAATATACATACATATGTAGACGCTCGCTCTGACATGAGTTTGCCTCCTCTTTTTGTCTCTTACTATATATATCTATCTCTCTAAGTTTATAGGTCTAACCTTGAATTGTCTTCCTCTCATTCTCCCCTTTCAGTAATATCTCTCTATTTCTCTCTTCCGCTCTCTCTCTCTCTCTCTTTGTCTCTATCAATCTCTATTTCTCTACTTTTATATATATTTCTATCAAATCTTTTACCTTTTTTTCTCTCTTACTCTCTCTCTCAGTCTCGCTGTCTCAATGTCTTTTAGGAGCTGTGACACGTGCGTCGTCTCAAATTTTATGGGTTTTTCAAATCCAATTTCATTTCGATGATTTTTTTTTTGCTGTTTTTCTTTGGCTGTTTGAGTTTTCTTGTTATACCCTGCAGACAGCATTGGAACAGGGCATATTAAATGTTGAATATATTTCATAATTCCCTTTACCAAATCAAGAGACGACTTAAGTCTTGGCATATCTTCTATATCTATATATGTATATAGATCTATATCTCTTAGATATACCTCTTGCTTGTTAGACAATTCCTTATAGAGCATCACTAAGTCAGTGCTCTTAATATTTTACATTCTATTTTTATTATTTTGTTAGCTTTTGCGACTTGTGTGAAAAATTAATTTATTTGATTTGCATTTCAATTTGCCGCTGCTGCTTCTGCCACTGCCTCTGCTTTTGCCTCTGCCTCTGCCTCTGCCTCTGCCTCTGCCAGCTACCCCAACTACCTCTAACTGCCCGCAACTTAGGCTCTCGTACTCTCCCTATATATATATGTGGTATATTTTCTCGTTTGCATGCCAAATATTTCGCTGTGTGTGTGCAGTGCCTGTCAAAATGTTTGAGCTGAGCTTGCCCAACTGTAATTCGCTAATGAAGTTGCAACATCCGGCTCATCGAAACGAATTCTGAGGCAGAAATGTGGGTACGCTTAGGCAGGGGCTACAACCCTGATAGGGAGTGGGCAGACGTCGAAGAGGGCGTGGCAGACGTAGAGAGAGAGGTAGAGGTGCTTTGTCGACAGGGTTAAAAATCGCTGCTGCTTGACAAATGCTGCGGCAGTGAAGCATGCAACGAGCAGGAGAACGCACTGAAGAGCCCTCAGCTGAACGAGCAGACCCTCTCCCCCTCCCTCTCTCTCTGTCGGTGTGTGTGTGTGTGTGCGGGTGCCTGAATTGGTGATGTATTGAAATTATGAAAAGGGCACGGCTGGGCACGTCATGGAACGCGAAGCATTGACAATGAGCCATGAAAGCGAAATGAGCGAGAGAGAGAGAGAGAGGGGGGAAGACGACGTGTGTGCGCAGAGCGGGAGAGTTTGGGCTGGGGAACGCAGCTAGACTCCACAGTCTAGGGCTTCGCTGAGCTGAGGGCTGGCTGAAGTGCTGATTGAACGCAAGAGCGAGGCGTGCCGTATTGTAAATGCCCGTGTTAAACGGAAGTTGCCAACGGGCCAACAACATCCGGCACTGCCCCCTCAGCTTCCACCTCACGCACACCCTCGCTCTCTCCCTCTGTGTGTGGGCGTCTGCTAATTGATGCGATGAGAACGTAGCATATGGCATATAATATAATATGTATATATATAATAATATTCCGAGTATTGCATCAATTTCGATGCATTAATCAAACAGAAAGCGCAGCATTAATTAAAATTGCATCAACTAGCTGCAAAGGGAGAGCGAGAGAGAGATAGCGAGTGAAAGAGAGAGAGGGGAGAAGCAAAGTTAAATAACTATTGCGCATCTTTCATACAATTAATTCATATACATACTTATGCATATATACATGGCCCGCCAGCCACGCCCCCAACCACCCAAATGGCCAAGTGGAGCAGCAAGTGAACCAAAGCGCGCAAAAATACGAAGCGGGCACTCAAGCAATGCAAGGCGATACGAGACAAGTTGCATGCCCAGCCGAAGGGGCGGCAGAAGGGTGCGAGGCGGAGGCGTGGCAGTGTGTGACATGAAATGTAGAGTGCCCGCCAGCAGCTCAGCCTCTCGCATGCCCACTCGCCCTCGCCAAGCAATTAGCGGCGAATGTTGCAAAAGAAACGCCAACTCGCGGGTCAACGCGTCACTCAGAGTCGAGAGCCGCTTGGCTGCCCAGCGAGTGCCTCGGACTTAGCTCTATACATATAAGTATATATACATATATACACATACACATACATACATGCACATACAATATAGGACGATGTCTGTCTGGCTTATGTGGCAGACACTTGTTATTGCTGTCGTTGAGACAATTGACTCGATTCACATATCAGGCTTATCAAACTCCCGCTCTCTCTCTCTCTCTCTCTCTCTCTCTCTCTCTCTCTCTCTCACACTCTGACGTGTGGAAGCCTCTGAACAGCATTTGCACAAAGTCCGCAATTAGAACAAATTAGTTCCTTATGTAAGCCAATTGTTTACAAACTGAGTTAGTTGATACTAATACTCTTGCGAACTAGTTCTTTGCAAAATAGCTTATGAATAATGAGTCATTACTCATGTGAATCAGTTTGTTGGCTTCATTTAACAGCTTACTGAACTTTCTTTTCGTGTGCCTCAATCAGTTCATCAATTAGCGTAATCCCTTTGGAATAAGTTCGTTAGCTCATTTTAACATGTTTGGTGAAAAGTTGTATCATTAGCTCATGTGAACTAGTTCATTGTGTCGCTTGAACCGATTTTGTTGGCACATTTATCATTCTGCGAGTTACTTTCAGCCTACATCAACTTATTTCAGCCCAACGAATAGCTCATTTGAACAAAATCGATACCATATATTGCTTGATTTTCATGTTTCAGTACTTGTTTATGGTTATGTTTGTTATTTCGTTCATTTGAACTAATTCATTAATGACCAACTTTGAAATTTATCAGCGCTTAGCACTTACTTCAACTTCATTTCGTTCTCTAATTCCTTAACTTCATATTCCAACAAAAGTCTTGCATCAGTTCATACACCATAGCTGGTTCATTGAATTACATTAGTCTCTGTAATAGCACTTGAATATTTCCTGAACTTGCAAAGAGAACTACTTCTACGAGTGGTTCTTTTAACTAGTTCAACATATTTTTTAGCTCATTAGCTTGTCGCCTCTTGAAAAGTGCGTATTCTAGCCCTTCACACTTACATATAAGTTCTCTGATTCAGTAGTTCTTTAAGTCAACTTGATACCAACTGAGTTTCGCCTGTATCTCACATCACATTTCGCTTTTCGTTCCCTTCCATTGCAGATGCTGAAACACGTACAAATCTCGCCGTTGCGCAATCGCTCCGATTCGCTCTCGCTGCGCTCCTCGAGCAACGCCTCCTCCTGCGCCAGCTCCATGTGCGGCAGTCCGGAGCCGCCCACCGATATGCAGCGAACGCCATCGCGCGCCTCCAGCTACTCGAGCCTCAACGAGCAGCTGCCACAGGTGAGTCCCCACTCAGACTTGCTTTGCCTGGCCCAACCACTCCTAACACACACTCTTCCTCTTCCGCCCCCCACAGACCACAATCAAAGTCTACACAAACTGCCTGAAGATCGACATTGAGTACAAGACGCTGGGCATTCAGTGGGACACGACGAGCAAGGAGGTGATTGCACAGCTCCTGAGACGGTAAGTGTGAGAGAACGAAATCCACTTTCGAATGGATCTAATCTAATAACTCCCTCCCTCTCTCTCTCTCTCTCTCTCTCTTTCTGTCTTTCTCTCTTTAGCTTGAAGATGCGCCATCGGGATCCGCGCCTCTTCTATCTGTCCATGGAGGTGGCTGTGCGGCGAGCAGGGGTGAAGACCATACTGGTGCTGGACGAGGACACACGGCCGGCCATCCTGCAGGCCTGCCATCCCAAGGGCGAGTCGCGCTTCTGCCTGCAGCTGAAGGCGGGCGGCCTGATCCGCGTGCACACCTCGGCGCTGCAGCCGAGCTCGCAGTACAAGTCGCTGGTCATCAGCGAGGAGACGACCTGCGACGAGCTGCTGCAGCTGCTGCTGGGCTGCTACAGCTCCCTGGAGCCCGTCGAGAACTTCTCGCTGTACGAGGTCTGCCCGGGCCAGGAGTGCCAGCGCAAGCTGCATCCGGACGATCTGCCGCTGCGCGCGCAGGCCGAGCGCCTGCGCCGGGGCGAGAACTGCCACTTCCTGGTGCGGCGCACGCCCAACTATGCGCGTCGTCGCCAGCTGCTGGCCAACCTGAACGAGGCCATCAAGCAGAGCTACGAGAGCGATGCGTCGGCTGTCTCTGCCGCCGCTGCCGCTGCTGCTGCAGATGCGGATGCGGATGCCGTTAGCCTGCTGGAGCTATCGCTCGAGTCGGATCTGTCGCTGTCGGAGGATTTGCGCAGCTGCAGCAGCAGCGAGGATGCCGAGGATGATGAATGCGCCAGCAGCTCCGGCTCCTCGGACACCTCCACCGAATGCACACTGCGTCGCGACTTCTTTCAGCGACGCACGCCGGTGCAGGTGAACGGAAATGCGGCCAGTTCGGCCGTAGCTGCCGCAATCTCTAGCTCTGCCTCCTCCTCCTCCTCCTCCTCTTCGGCCTCGCCGTCGCCCGCTCGCGCTTACAGTCCCGTCTACAACATACGCGAAATACGCACCGCCACACACTCGTTCTCCTCGCTGGGCAAGGACAAAAAGCTGCTGGACATCCACATGAATGCGCGCTATGCGCCAGCTGGCATCTACAACCGCCTGCTGCCCGTCGCCGAGGACAGCCAGGACGGCCTCGACGTCAATGGCAATGCAACAGCAGCGACAACAACAACAACAGCGACTGCGACAGCGACAGCAACAGCTAATACTAAGCTCGCAGCGGAGGCTGTTAACAATAATCCAGCGAAAGGCTTGGGCCACTTTGTCTATTTGTAACTAGTCAAGGCCACAAGTTGTACATAGAGAGGCAGGCAATGCGAGAGAGGGTAAGAGAGTGAGAGAGAGAGAGAGAGAGAGAGCAGAGAGCGCGAGAGTGGAAATATCCCCAAAAAGAAACGTAAACCGTTTGGACCAAAGATGCATTTGTAGTTTAAGCCTAAGTGTAAATAGTTAAGAGATAGAGAGCGAAAGCGAGAGGGAGATGCAGAGAGAGAGGGAGAAATTGAAGCTTTTGGCATTTGTTGCACAACTAAAAGCTGGTAAATCCAAGATTACTAAAGGAGTCTATAGCTTGAGGCTTTAGTCGCGTAGCTAAAGCTAAACTAAGTCGTCGGATATCTGAGCACCTAACAAAAGCACCTAACACTTAAGATAAATATATGTAGAAACCAAAAAGATATTCTAATAATATAAACTAGAAGAAAAAAAGAATTGTTATTGTTATTATTATTATCAGCATACCCCGCCTTTGCAGCTGTCCACAGGGTATATTGCCTGACCTGGGCCTGGGCAAGTTAATTGCATTAAATGCAATATTCACGGCTAACGTCAATCAGGCGGCGGCGGCGTTGGCGGTTGACCAATTGCAATTTGTGTTTTTAAGGATCGACGCGGCGCCGAGCTTAACTCGAATGATTTACGCGGCGTATACGCAATTTGCCATATAAATGAGCTTACTGCACGAGCAGCTTCATCAAAAATGAAAACAAGCTAAAGATAGCTTTAACTTCAGCCTTTTTACAGCAATTTTTTTTTTTGCTTTCTTCCGGAGTCTCTTAAATTACAGAAATTATCTGGATTTTGTTGCTGGGCGACTTTAGCCAACTAATTTATTATGAAAGGTCGCCAGACTGAATTAAAAATAAACAAATTGCCAATCAAATCCAATTTGTTGCAGCCTAAAATAATAAGTCAGCGCAAAAGGATGCCAAAGGGTCTCACAGATACTGAAAGTTTTCGCTTTGGGTAGATTGTTTGTTCGGCGTTTCCTTTGTTCAGGCAGTGAAAGTAGTCCCAGCAGTCGCTTTTAGCAGTTACGCTTTCCAGTTGACAGCCAGGATATGGTATATCCATCCTATGCAACATGCTGCGAATTTTCTCTTCTAAAACTTAGTTGAGTTTCAGAATCCTTCATCCTGATTGCTGCTTATGAATTGTCCAGTTTCAATATGGGCACATACGATCTAACTGTGCAGAACAATCAAAAGAATATTTGTAAAATAATCACATTTATAATAATTGGCTTTCTTACTTCATTTGGATAAATAAACCAAGTTTTGTCATTTTGCCTGATAACAATCACCAGAACTATCACAAAAGTATGCAACGAAAAAGCGTGATTGAGGTTTATTGCATAGCGCCATCTATTGGATTCAATTGCAATTACTTTTTAATAAGTGAGCTGCCCAAAAGTATGCAATGCATTTATGTCCTGCGTTATTGAGCTATGTCAATAGAAGAGTCGCTTGCTGACGCTGCATTTGGTAGGTGTTTCGTATATTTTATGTAAATATTGCAATTATAAATAAACAGAACATTCTAATAATCAGGTTGTTGATTTATGTTGATCTGATATGGTTTATTTGCCTTTGCACTGCGCTGCTGCTGTTGCTGTTACTCTTGCCATTTCCCGTTACCTTCCGTGTCGCAAACATTAAAGACCTATAAAACATAAAGAGCCATGTTTATTGTCTGCATGATAAGTTGGAAAACGTGAGCAATAAAAAATAAATAAATAAATATATAAATATTACTGTAAGCCTTTGGCGTTCACAAAATAAATAAAATTTAAATTTATTTAAACAAATTTAAAAATTATGTATTTTACAGCAAAGGCATTTAACCTAAAAATTGCCTACGTTATTTTTTACAGTGTGTGTGTGCCAAACAAAATTCTGCATTGGACCAAAACGAACTAAACCGAAGCAAAGTTTGCCAAGTTCAGCGAATCGAAGGTCGAACACCCACACATACACATAGTGCACCCATGCACGTATAGAGAGTGTACACTGTACACACACACAGACACACCCACACATGACGTAAGCTAACACTAATCTAAGCTCGTTTTGTTACTCCTTCAACTAATTGCCATAATCCGTTAGATAAAATTTCTTTATCATTTTTTTGCTGCTGCTGCTGTTGCAGTTCTTGTTGTTGTTGTTGTTGTGAAAGTTGTGCGAATTGAATCGGGTTTTTGTGTGCGCTTTTTGTTTTTATACAACTAATCGGCTTAGCATGCAAGCCACAGCCCACAGTTATGCATGGCTACGTAGGCGTGTGGGCGAGTGGGCGGGCGGGCGTTTGTCTGTTTGCTGTTGCAATTGACTTCTTTGACAGCTGCTGATTTTTCACTTGAATGAAATTGTAATCCTGGCGCTGGCGTCAGTTGACTAACTATATAGCCGTTGCTATTAATTTGTTAGTGCGTTTTATAATATGTTTAAAATATGGAGACAGAAGCTGCCGCTGCTGCTGCTGCTGCTGCTGCCGCTGCTGCTGCTGCTGCTTCTTCTTCTTCAACTGCAGCTGCTTTTAATTAAAAAATCCGTTTGCGTCAGCATCGAAGGAGTTGAGTTTAGTTGCCAGTTGGCTGCCAGTTGGTTTATATTACATGCACAAGTTCTGGTTGACTCAGGCTTGCCTAATAGGCCGACAAGCAGAGGGCAAGAAAGAGCGAGAGAGAGAGAGAGAGAGGGGAGGGGGGAGGGGAAAGATACTGATCGCAACTGCAACTTACATGTGTGGCAACATCCTTTTGCCTGTTTGTCTGTTTGCCTGCTACTCCGGCTCGATGCTCGGCTGAATTCTCGTTATTGCCATTTAGCCAGCACTTGACTTGCAAAACTTTGCACTCTTTGAACGGCCTACCCTGTAAATGCCGAGCTGTGCTCAGCGAGTCGTTCAGTTCGTGGCAGTCAAGTGCGTTATATGTAAGTCAGCCGAGGGCATTTCTTAGTCAAGTTTTGCTTTACACTTCAGCTCAGCTTCAAATTGCCTGCACACACACACATACACACACAGGCACACACACATACAGGTATCTCTTTGCCAATACTCCCCAACTGCTGCAATTGCTCCTAGGCACATGGCAAACAGTTTTCATCAGTTTCCATAAGCATTTTCAAATCAAGCTCTTTCGACACTTTTGTCGAGCTGCAGCTGCAGCTGATGCTGCAGCTGATGCTGCTGTCGTAGGCTGTGCGCCTGTTATTTGCATTTTTAAATTTCGTCGAATTTTGCACATTTTTATTTTTCAAGAGATAAAGAGAGCGAGAGAGAGGGAGAGAGTGAGTGAGTGAGCAGGACAGCTAATATGTTGTTGCACACAGTGCGTATGATTGATGTGGGCTGCATATGTTTTATTTAGTTATTGCAAGCACCATGCACACACTCTCTCTCTCTCTCTCTCTCTCTCTCTCGCTCTCTCTCGCTCTCTCTCGCTTTGTCAGCTTGCATACATCACTCAGCGCTTATCTTGAATGCCATTCGAGGGCAGTTACTGTGATTTATGTCAATTCGCAGCCGTCGCTTCGTCGCTTCAACTTGCTTTTAATTATGAGAAATTGTTGGCTCAAAGCTGAACCGAAAGTTGCTTTGAGTAGCTGCAGCCCGATGCTCGCTGCACGCTGCTCGCTGCTCTAAGGGCGCCACTTGACACAATTTATGGTCACCTTTTCTCTCCTCGCCTTCCGCTTCCGCTTCCCCTTTTTGCATAACAAAGCGACGGCCGTGCAGCTTAACAAATGGCCAAAAAGCAAACAAAGACCCAAACAAGTGCTCGAGCTTCACTTTTCTTTTCTTATTTTTTCATTTTGCGCGGAATTTCATTGCAGATTTCCTTCTCCACTTCTTCTTCCACTGTTTCTCTTTGCTTTTTTCATTTTTGGCAATTTCTTCTCTCGCTCTTAATTTGGCTCAAAGCGCGAGTCGCGTGGTAATTGAGTTTGCACGGCTTCGCTTTGTGCGCTGAGAGCAGCAGCAGCGCGTCCTTAGCCCGCTGCAGTGCGTTGACAAATTGGAAAACAGCAACAACAGCAATACAAATAAAAATAATAAAAACAAAAAAAAAAAAAATATGCAAGGTAAAAAAAAAGAATTTTGGCATTATTTTTCCCGATTTCGTTTGGCTGCCTCAGCTGAACGTGTCTGTTGGCAGGCCGCAAAATCATTCGTCAGCAAATTCGAATTCGACTTCGAATTCGGCAATCAAATGTTATGAATGCCAAGCACCGTTCGCCATTCGTTATGCTGCTGATAATGCAGAAATTATAAATCAAAATCAAATCTATTCAAAATAAACCAAATCAATTGCAAACGCAACGAAATGCAAATTGTTTTGCAGCTCGTTTACATTCGGCCAAAGCGAACTCATTGCAGTCGCAGACCTTAGCTGGAAATGCTTAGCTTAGTAAATGGGAGGATGTTAGTTAACTTATAGATAAATATCATCTTATAAATTTATCGATATTCATATGGGTATATATAACTTGTATCATCTATACAAGTTATATAAATGTTATGTACAAATATTCGAAATATGATAGACAAGTGAGTCTTGACAATTCTTACCCCGCTGAATTCGTTCTCGATAATTCTCGATAATTTGAATTTCTGTCAAAATCGAAAACAAACTGATCCCCTTGCCATTTAAAATTATCGGGACTACTGTACATATAGCATATATAGATGAATATCAAATATTTATAGCAAATATACATGTATGACTCTCTTTTAATCGTCTTGCATTAAGAGCTAGTACTAAAGATAGTAGAGATAAAGCTGTAGTCCGATCAATAAGAGAAAATAAATTCAGCTGTTTGCCAGGGCACCATCGATAGTATCGTTTGGCTTTACTTTATGCGATAGCTCAATGTATGTTGCTCGATAGTGAAATATTGTTCTACTTAGGGGATAGTTGAAACAACGCTGAGCAGAGTATTGACGACATATCCTGACGCCGTCAAGTGGACTGCATTCACGATTATCCTCAACATCAGACGCGATTAATATTTGTGCCCCATGCTATATAAGAATTACATAAAAAGGGCTTCACTCTTCGAAACCATCAACAGCTCAGCAGGAATCCTTGCGCTCTCCCTCGTGCAATATTTTGGTCTCCAAGTAAGCAAAAATAGAGAAACCTACCTCTTATGCCTTAACTTGCAGTTCCAGTAAAGCTAAAATAAAAATATTATAAAAAAATGAATAATTGCAATTATACATATATCAATTATATCTATATACATATTATAAATATTGCTTTATGCTTTTATTATATATAGATATATATATATATATTGATAATGTATATTATTTCAATCAAGAATCAATAAATAGTTTTGAAAACTCATTAGAATAAAACGTGAAAAGTCTTTACATACATAAAGTAAGTGACCAAATCAAGTCAATCAAAGGCAAGCTAATAAATA